TCCCGGGGACCGGGGCTTTCACGGCCCCCGCTCCCCACGGCCAGGCACGAAGCGGCGCTCAGAGCGGCCACTGCTGCACACGCTGGGTCACGTCATCATGAGCCAGAGCTACGTCTGTGCCCTCATCGCCATGATGGTGAGGAGGGGACGGGGGGGACGCTCGTCCCCGCGCCCCGAGGGCTGGGGAGGCATCGGGAGAGCCCACGCGAGCGGCCGCCGCTGCCTCCCCGTGCAGGTGTGGAGCATCACGTACCACAGCTGGCTCACGTTCGTGCTGCTGCTCTGGGCCTGCCTCATCTGGGTGGTGCGGAGCCGGCAGCACTTCGCCATGCTCTGCTCGCCCTTCCTGCTGCTCTACGCCGTGGGGCTCTGCAGCGCCCAGTACGTGTGGGCCATGGAGCTGGCCCCCGAGCTGCCCGCCCGCGTGGGCTTCATGAGCCTCGAGCAGCTGGGGCTGGTGCACCCCAAGTACCCCTGCCTGGACCTGGGGGCCAAGGTGAGGCCGGTGGCGCCGTCCCCGCGCCCGCGGGTGCCGGGACGTGCCGTGCTCACCGCCTGTCCCCGCAGCTCCTGCTCACCCTCACCTTCTGGCTCCTGGTGCGGCAGTTCGTCAAGGAGAAGCTGCTGACGAGGCAGTGCCCGTCCACGCCGCTCCTGGAGGTGACGGTGTCGGACACGGGTGAGGGCGCTGAGAGGGACGGGCTGGGGACGCTGCCGGGGACACCCCGTGGGCCCAGGTGTCCGGGCGGCGATGCAGCCGGCCCCGAGCAGCCCCTCCGGTGCCTTGCAGAGCCCAGCCGGCAGCAGGACGTGCTGAAGGCGCTGGGGGCCCTGGTGCGCGATTTCTACGCCAAGTACTGGATCTGCGTGTGCGCCGGCATGTTCATCGTGGTGAGCTTCGCCGGGCGCCTCGTCGTCTACAAGATCGTCTACATGTTCCTCTTCCTGCTCTGCCTCACCCTCTTCCAGGTAGGGCCAGTGCCGCTGCCTGTCCAGGACCCCGTCCCCGGTGGGGTGGTGTCACGGTGTTGTCCCCACAGGTGTGCTACAGCCTGCGGTGGTGTCACGGTGTTGTCCCCGCAGGTGTACTACAGCCTGTGGCGCAAGGTGCTCAAGGGCTTCTGGTGGCTCGTGGTGGCCTACACCATGCTGGTGCTCATCGCCGTCTACACCTTCCAGTTCGAGGACTTCCCCATGTACTGGAGGAACCTGACGGGTCTCACCAACGAGCAGTGAGTGGTCCTGTGACAGGGTGACGGGCACTGAGAGGTGGCCAAGAGATGCCAGCACTGAGGATGCCAGCAATCAGGATGGGATGGATGTGGCCCTGCGCTAAACGCTTTCTCCCTGCCCAGGCTGGGAGACCTGGGCCTGGAGCAGTTCAGCGTCTCCGAGCTCTTCTCCAGCACCCTCATCCCGGGCTTCTTCCTGCTGGCCTGCATCCTGCAGCTCCACTACTTCCACCAGCCCTTCATGCTCATCATGAGGGATGGAGCATCCTCCAGGATGGGACTGGGGGGATGCAGGGTGGAACGGGACATCCTCCAGGATGGGGCATGAGGGATGGAGCATCCTCCAGGATGGGACTGGGGGGATGCAGGGTGGAACGGGACATCCTCCAGGATGGGGCATGAGGGATGGAGCATCCTCCAGGATGGGACTGGGGGGATGCAGGGTGGAACGGGACATCCTCCAGGATGGGGCATGAGGGATGGAGCATCCTCCAGGATGGGACTGGGGGGATGCAGGGTGGAACGGGACATCCTCCAGGATGGGGCATGAGGGATGGAGCATCCTCCAGGATGGGACTGGGGGGATGCAGGGTGGAACGGGACGTCCTCCAGGATGGGGCATGAGGGATGGAGCATCCTCCAGGGTGGGGTGGAGAGATGCGGAGTGGGACAGGGCATCCTCCAGGATGGAGCAGGGGGGATACAGGGTCAGATGGGGTGTTCCCCAATCTAGGACAAGGCGGGGGGAGCATAGGGATGGGACAGTGACAATCCACGTCCCCACAGTGCCCTCCAAATGGGGACTGGTGCTGGAGCGCCTCATCGTGCTGGGCTGGACCTTCTCGGACCGGCTGACCCAGGTGCAGGTCTTCGTGGGGCGCCTGCTGGAGCTGCACATCCTCAAGCTCGTGGCTCTCTACACCGTCTGGGTGGCCCTGCAGGAGGTAGGGGCCTGGGACGTGTCCCCAAGGGCCCTGGCTCCTCTGCTGGGTGGTGACACCGGCGCTTGCCCAGGTCTCGCTGATGAACTTCCTGCTGGTGCTGCTGTGGGCCTTCGCCATGCCCTACTGCCGCTTCCGCCACATGGCCTCCTGCCTCTCCACCGTCTGGACCTGCATCATCATCGTCTGCAAGATGCTCTACCAGCTCAAGATCGTCGACCCCAGCGAGTACTCGAGCAACTGCACCCAGGTGCCTGGGGACAGGCGGGTGCCACCGCGCTGGGGGTGCCCGATGTCCGGGTCTGCCCGGAGATGCCCAGCTCTGGGTGGGATGTGGGTGCCCATGGGGCTGATGCCTGGATTGTGCGCCCCTTGCAGCCCCAGCTCACCGGCACCCACCTAAGATGCTCTACCAGCTCAAGATCGTCGACCCCAGCGAGTACTCGAGCAACTGCACCCAGGTGCCTGGGGACAGGCGGGTGCCACCGCGCTGGGGGTGCCCGATGTCCGGGTCTGCCCGGAGATGCCCAGCTCTGGGTGGGATGTGGGTGCTGATGCCTGGATTGTGCGCCCCTTGCAGCCCCAGCTCAATGGCACCAACCTCAGTCCGGAGGAGCTGGTCAACTCCACGCTGTACCGGGGCCCCGTGGACCCTGCCAACTGGTTCGGCATCCGCAAGGGCTTCCCCAACCTGGGCTACATCCAGGTGGGTGAGGACGATCCAGGGTGCTCCCTGCACCAGGGTGTCCATGGAGACCTCCACGTGGGCATGGACATCTGTGGGGATGCTGAGCACCCTCTTGTCTGCGCAGAACCACCTGCAGGTGCTGCTGCTGCTGGTGTTCGAGGCCGTGGTGTACCGGCGCCAGGCCTACTACCGCAAACAGTTCCAGCTGGTGGCCCCCGTCACCGAGACCATCTTTGAGGATGTGTCCCGTGAACACCTGGACCAGGGGCTCATCAGCTGCGCCAAGTACTTCCTCAACTACTTCTACTACAAGTTTGGCTTGGAGGTGAGGAGCGGGCAGTGGTGGGCACCGATGCCGGGGTTTGGGCTGTGGCTTATCCTCCATGTGCAGATCTGCTTCCTCATGACGGTGAACGTGATCGGGCAGCGCATGAACTTCATGGTGATCCTGCATGGCTGCTGGCTCGTTGTCATCCTCACGCGGCGGGGGCGCCCCCCCCCCGCCTCTGGCCCAAGTACTGCCTCTTCCTCGTCATCTTCCTCCTCTACCAGTACCTGCTGTGCGTGGGCATGCCACCCGCCCTCTGCATTGGTAAGGGACGTGGCTTGGGGACATGGGGACATGCGTGGGGACACGCGTGTGCAGGGACACAGGGACACGGGTGTGTGGGGACAGGCAGACATGGGTGGACACCCCGCACACACACACACACACGCAACTGAGGTCGCTGGTCACCCCCCCAGACTATCCCTGGCGGTGGAGCCGGTCCCTCCCCATCAACTCGGCGCTCATCAAGTGGCTCTACCTGCCTGACTTCTACGTGGCGCCCAAGTCCACCAACCTCATCAGTGAGTACCCACCACCCCGTCCCCTCCCTTGTGTCCCCGGCATCCCTGGCCACCCGAGCCCCAGGCACAGCCTTGGGAGTCCCCTCCTGTCCCCATGGGTGACCAGGCAGGACAGCTGGGAAGGGTTGGGGTGAGATACATCTCTTTTGGAGCTCATCCCAAGGAAGGGAGAAGCCTAGAATTAGCTCTGCCCCCTGGGGGTGGAGCTTGATGGATGTCCCGCCCCTAGGGAGGAGTTTATTGTATGGCACGCCCACTGGGGGGAGGAGCTATTGGAAGATCCCATTGCCCTGATGGAGGAGCTTGGTGGAAGTCCCATCCCTAATGTTGGGGTCCCCATCCCTGTGGAGGAGGAGTCTGGAAATAGCCCCACCTCCAGGGAGGAGCTTGATGAAGGCTCCACCCCCACCGGGGGAGGGGCTTGGTAGAAGCCCCAACCCATGGAGGAGGAGCTTGGTGGAGGTCCCATCCCTATTGGTCGAGTCCCCTTTCCCACGGAGGAGGAACCTAGAAACAGACCCACCTCCTGGGGGAGGAGCTTGATGGAGACTCCACCCCATTGTGGGAGGAGCTTGGTGGGGGATCCCATCCCTATTGGTGGTGTCCCCATCCCCTTAGAGGAGGAGCCTGGAAATAGCGCCTCCCCCGGAGGGAGGAGCTAGTTGGTGGCCCCACCCCATTTTGGCGTGGAGGCGTGGCTTGCTCACGCCCCGCCCTGCGGGGGCGGGGCCGGCGCTGAGTCCTGTGCCCGCAGACGACTTTGTGCTGCTGCTGTGCGCGGCGCAGCAGTGGCGGGTGTTCGCGGCCGAGCGCGCCG